GAGCATTTTCACACATCGCGATGAACACGTTCTCGACACAGTCTGTCAAGTTCTAGAGATATTTAATGCGTACCAGTACAGAATTTATAAGTTAGATTGCTGCTCCTACAATTTCCACATCTTTCGATTTTCGCGATCTGGTCAAGGGGAGGCTGATGTGTATCGTTTTATGTCCAAACATACTTCAGATCACAATGTGCTTTTTTGTCTCGATCCGTTGTCACACCTCGCCATCGATGGAAATAACAATTAATTTAAGTCTTGAAACGCGCAGATAGATGAATCACGGCGTTAAATATGTCACTATCAACAGAATGTGCCGCAGCATTACTATCTTTTAGATACCCTAGTTTTAGAACATGTAATTCGTGGGGCAAGGAGGACCAAAGTAAAACACTCAATATTTGTTTTATAGATAACACCTTTCTCAAAACAATATACTAATTACTTTTAAAATGATTGATCTTTGTCATCTTTTTGTTTATAATGAAAATATTTTTATTTACTAAATGGATTTGTGCCCACATAGTATATGTTTAGCTACCAAGCTCCAGCAAAAGTCGCGACCCCTCTGGTTCGAACGTAGTGATAAAACATACAGAAAGGAAGAAACAAAACAAAACGGAAGTGTTATCTAATATTCGCATTATTGACTTGCCTTCGCGGGAGCATATTTTGGCCACTTGAAATCTGATACAAACCCTCATTCAACCAGCCACATATTTCGGACTTTTTCACTTTCCACTCGTTGGTCTGTGGGAAAAATGAATACTTCACTTCTCTTTTTAGATCTCCCGATGCAAACCGAGTATCTGAAAATCTTAATCTCTTTCCGAAATATTCGGATGGTCTTCGGGAAGATTCGGGCGATGTTCGGCAATCAGTTCCGAATTCTGAAATAAGTCCAAGGGAGTTTATTAATTTTCGAAGGACCTTTTTGAGGTCCTTAATTTTTAGGGGGCTTAGTTTCGGAAGGGCGTATTTTCAGAACATCATTGAATCTTACTTACTAGCGAGCACAAACAGTGCCATACGAATGCCAAAGGAGAAATAAAACACTTAATTTCAAGTTTCTTCATACACGTTTGTTTTTTCTTTTTCGGCTTTCGCCATACGATGCTATGAATGTGCGCCCAATTTCATCAACTTCAGCAGTGCAAACACGTGCAGCAATCCAACTGACACCATAGACTGCACCGATCCATTCCACGATTCCTGCCTTTCCTTAAGCATTACAGGACTTAGAGGCAATGCGTCAGATTTTGCTGAGTTCACTTTCCACTCATTCAACTGCACTGCGAAATTTCTGTGTGACGACATTAAGAATTTCACATGTGATTTGTTGAAGAGCAAAGCCAACGCACCTGGTGTCAAGCTCGTGAACTGCGAAATATCCTGCAGTCAGGGGGATCTCTGTAATAAACCCCTAGAAGGACCCTCGGCTTCGTGGTTTCCACGACGCATCACGCCACCGAGTCGCTCAGGAAGTATCACCATCAATTTTCCTCTAAAATGCGCCGTATTTGGTATTCTGGGCGTGATTCCTTTGGTCGTCCTGAACATATTTTGACAATCTGTTTAAGCTGAATAAGGTTGCAGATCAATGAATATATGAACAATGAATGAGTTGCCAGTAATCGGATACCCGTGTTTGCGCAAGAACTCTGGGATCGTCAGGGAGCAAACATTGCAAGTCGCTAGAAGGAAATGTGTGGCGAAACGTTGTTTCGACGCCCAAAAACATGGTTTTGGGGAGAGATCAACGCTTTTTCGCCGTTGTTTTATCGCGGATGGATTTTGGCCATGTTGATATATGGAAAATGTAAGTTTTTGTTTGAGTAACCGTGAAATAAGTGATAAAATTTACCGATAAACTTCCTTTTGTTTGCGTGAGGTTTATTGTGAAATACATTGAAGAGAATATTGAAAATTTCAATAAACGCCTGATCTCGAGAGGCTACCCGGAGCAAATGGTAGAAAAGATCCTCCGAGAAGTTAAATATAAAGACAGAAAAGAAGCTCTAAAACAGAAATCGAAAATTGCAGAAGGAACTACTATCCTTTGTGTCGGGCAATTTCACTCAACCGTCAATACCAAACTTTGGAAAGCATAATCACGCACAAATGACACTTTTAAATACAAATACTCAGAGATAATTTCAAGGAGCCACCCTTGATCTGTTATAGAAAAGGAAAATCACTGAAATAAGTGCTTGTAAAAGCAAAGCAAAGGCTTTGAGCAACACAGTAGCCACACAGCATGAGTCGCGCTGACTCATTTGTAATTAAATCAACCCCAGACAGTACAATGATCGCCACCAGGTATATTTCCAGTATTATTTGCATGACTGAGCTTTCAAATAAGCCAAAAGTAGCCTGTACACAACTTGAAAGGCTTTACTAGGTTATTTCCTCTCGATTTATACCTAATTAATTTTGTAATATTATCAGACCATTACGCGATGTAAATGTCACAATAAACCTCACGCAAGCAACGGAGTTTAACGGTAGATTTTGTCATATATTTCAGGGTTATTCAACCAAAAACTTACATATTCCACGCATCAACATTGTACAAATCCATACGCGATAAAAACGACGGCGAAAAAGCGTTGATCTCTCTCAAAAATCGTTTTCCTGTACTTCGAAACAACTTTCCGCCATACATTTCCTTCTAGCGACTGGCAATGTTTGCCCCCTGACGATCCCAGAGTTCTTCGCGCAAACACGGGTATCCGATTACTGGCAACTCATTCATTGTTTGATGATTTTTGAATGTGAGTTAAAGAAAAAATAAAGCTATACAAATTATGGTATACGTATAGTCTATGATTAAGTGTAGTTGATGCAAAACCAATCATGCACTTTTCGACACTCAAATAAAAATCGCTCTAAATCTTCCATAATGAAACACGTGATAAGTACTTTCCGCCAGACGTTTAATGCCGTTCTGTAGGCCGAAGAGATCAATTAATATTTTGGGAAGCAAACCAGCGTTGAATAAGTGAAAATGTTAGGCCCGCCAACCAAATCATGTGTCTCCTTAGCAACCTTTTTCTCATACCCAGACCCCGACGACTGAGAAGGACATGACACCCGGGGGAACACCCATCTAAAAAGGACAGGGGTGCTCGTCCGAAATTTTGAAAAAAAAAAACCTACGAGATACCAAGATCCTGTTTTGTGGGCGTGGCTTCATTTTTTTCAAGCCTGAGAGGTGCCAATTCGGAGACAAAATTAAAAATCAGTTGATTTTCAAATATCCCCAGTCATACTTTTTTTTTTTCGGTTTAATACTCGAAAGGCGCAAGGCAAAAGCTCCCGCTGTGAACACAGCGGTCAAACGTCGGGCATGCGCAGACGTTTGACCGCTGTGTTCCCGTTGTGGACCTTTTGAGACTGAATACCCTAAGAGGCACCAAAACCACTTTTTTAACCCTAAAAGGTACGACGAGTACCCCCGCCCTTTTTTTAATGGGAGTCCCCCCGGGTATGCATAATACCGTTTTAATTACACGTGGAATAGGATGAATCCTCTAGGGTAGACAAAGTCTTTTGTACGAATTAGGACTATTATGTGTGGAAAACAGAAGCAAATGTTTGGTAAACCCAAGTAAACCCAATACAGAGACAAGCACTGATTTGAACATGGAACATTGAATGAAAAATTATCTTCTGAATTCAGTTGTCGTGAAGGAAGAAAAAAAAAAGGAAGGTCAAGTAAGTGGAAAGAGGGAGATTCAAGAAAAATCTGTTACTCAGTTACAAGTTCGAAACTTCGCGGTCCGTCAGTTACATCATTACACGAATACAAAGGTAGTTCGGTGGGGCAATAACTAAAATCAACAAATCAGATTACTCCATTGCCGGTCCACTATTCTACTTGCAATGGACTGTCCCGAATGATTCTGCATGAAAACCCTCGAGAAAATTTACTGGTAGTTTTATGGCTTACGTCTCTGAAAGAACTTGCTTTCAGATTAAATATTCCTCTTCTTTATATCTTCCATCTTCGGAGACCCAGGGGCTGCTAGTCGGGACGATGCGATATTTTTGGGCGCAAGTTAATTTACTTCAAGAGCAGACAAGCTCTTGAAGTAAACTTCCATCCTTCTCCGAGGATGAGTGGATAGATGCTTTCAGGGAAGGGTACCCATCCCTCTTGCTATCTTGTTTCATATAAGGAAAACGAATTATAATTTGAGGTACACCAATATGCTCTATTTACCAAGGGTGGGCAGCACCAAGCATGGTCTGAAGTCTTTCCATTACTTTGTGTAATTGGGGCAAAAACATGGAGCGCTCTGTAAGAAACAACACGTGCCATGGACGGTACAAAGAAATTATTAAGGAAGATTCGTCGCGTAAGATTTCAAATTTAAATTAATCCACGACATAATTTTTTACGATAAAAATTATTGAATTCTTGAATTTATGAATTTACTTAATATATTATTGACAATGTGATGTTTTTATATCTTTTACTGCAAAGATCATTTTAATTTCATGTACTCATATTTTAACTAATTTGTATTTTCTTTTGTTCACAAGGGAGGTAGAGGACAGAGAGCCTGGGAACGAGGTTGAGGAGACCTTTTAACATCACATGACAGTGAATAATCTCCCGTTTCCTAAGACCCTCATATCATCTTTTTAAAAAAATTTTCAAGAATTTAAAAAGTTGTCCTTTTTCACGCGAGTGGGAGCAGCATTGTGTGACAGTCCAAATTCCTTCACACAGCCTTTGCTGAAGTTATAATATTGGAGAACTGTCAGAATTTATTGAGGACCGCTCTTGGTCCTCTTCCACCGTGACAGCAATTCTCGATGATTCCACGTATTTGTACCTCCTCGCCAGGTAAACAAAAACCAGGAAATTCAAGAAAATGACCACAGCAAGGAAAAAGAAATAATTTTCCAGTTTGCCCGCATTGAGATCTTGTGGGTACCAAGAACCGTCAGTGGCCTTCCTCACTATAGCTGCGAGAGCCCCCGCTACATAGAAGCCTATTCCAATGGTTGCCAAGTTTAGGCCCATGATCACACCGCGAAGGTAGAGAGGGGACTGGGAGTAGGCAAAAGCAAGTCCTGGGAATGGAAAAAAAAAAAAAACAATAAAAATAAAACAAATGTGAGAAAATGAGAAAAACAAAACATTGGAATGTTTGATTGATATTCTTTCAGTCTTAGGGAACAGACTGAAACTGTTTCAACAGGGAGTAATTTGAAATCACTTGGTATGTACCAAAACAAGAGCAATTTTTAGCTGCTTTTTTTTGGCGGGGGGGGAGGGGTGGGGGGGTTGATGGGCTAACAATCTGGCTTCATTTGCAACTGCCTGTCACTAACACAGTCAAACCCCTGTTAAGCAGCCACCTATCAAGCAGCCACCCCTTAAGCAGCCAGTTATCAATGTCACTAAAATACTGTATAAAACCCCTATTAACCAGCCACCTAACTATTAAGAGGTGACAGCCACCTTTTGGCTGTCCCTATGAGGGTTTTTCTATTGCCTTTACCCTATTAAGTGAACATGCACTCAAAATGTAATACACATAGATTGGCTTTATTTTGACAGATATGAGAATGAAATTGGAAGTGACAGTTGATAAAAACGTTCAAACACACGTTTATTATGATTGCCTTGACACAATATTATTACATGTTCAATAAGGGATTAACGCAACAGAAAAAATAATCAAGTACACCAACCCCTATTAAGCGGTCAACCCCTATTAAGCGGCCACCTTCCATTTCCCCAAGGGGTTTGACTGTATAACAAGTACATCAAAGCAGGCTTTTTGCTAGAATTTTTGAAAAGTGGCCATCCAAAATGTACCATAGGGCATGCTCAAAGGAGCAATTTATATTAGGCAACATATGAAAAATAAAACAATGTTCTTCAGAAAGTTGCTGTCCACAGGACGCCTGGACACCCATCTGGCTAAAAGCCTGCATCCAAGGGTGCAGATTCATTTGTCACAAGCATTGGACAACGAAAAGCCCTGAAAATTTGAGTCTCCAACTGGAATCCTCCATAGGAAAAAAGATGGCGACTGGTACATTTATCCATAGTTCTTAGTGTAAGAAAACCTTAACATCGCTCATAAAAATGTACAGAAGAGTTATGAAATCTTCAAACCTAGGCTACTCGGTGTGCTTAGTACAGGAACAAATATTGTAAAAATTTGGCTTTCTTTGTGCCATATAGGCTGTGTTAGGTTCACGAGGTATTGTGGTAAAATGTACAGCCGCCATCTTTTTTCCTACAGTGGATTGAACCTATGACTTTAGACCAAGCTAGAAGGAGACTTCTAGCACACTAGCAATGCCATTTACTAGGTTCATAAGTGACATGTACACTGTATAATGCTAGGATTGGCTATGTCAAAAGCATACTGTGGAAATACTGTGACCAGGCATGTGCACCATGTACATGTATCACCACCTATGAGCCTTAAAATCTAACCTACTTGCCTGGAATTGAGGTTAACACTTCCCCAGTCCCCTGCAACACGTACTGAGGGACTTGATAAAAGATATTCATCTGAGAAGCATTTACTGGTGTGTCAAACGGGTACTGCTCAAAATAGCCATGAGCATCAATGTACTTCTTTCTTTCAATCTCCATAAGTCCTGCCATGATCACAGATCCCATGGCAAACAGCATACCAACACCCATTTTCCTCAGCGGGGTGAAGTCGAAGCCAAAATGGCGCAGGGCGGGGTAGAGGATGCGATCTACAATTGGAATAAGAACTAATAACATGGTGATTTCAAAGAGGTACAGGGAGGCTGCTGGCATGGTAAAGTGTTCTGTGAGTTGTAGCTGCATGAAGGAGCCTTGAAGAAGGTAGCTAGTCTGACCCTAGAAGAACAAACAAACAAAGTACAAATGAGCAGAGATAAGTTACATTCAAGTAAGAGAAACGAACTTTACACAACATACCATGTATTTGGCAAATAGAAAACCACAGGTGTTAACAATGTTCGTGACCTAATACAAGCAGTACCGGAGAACTGATTAATAACAGGTATTTGTAAACCTGAGCTGCAACCGAGAGATTCTTGAACATTTAAATAACCCAGTAAGATGCAACATAACGGAATAAATCTGACTGTTTTCAGTTTTTTATTCTTTTTCCCAGCAAATCATGCATATTAATATTTTGTTCAAAGTTTCCCTTGAGCTGGAATTTTTGTTTGTTTTTGTAGTTGCTTGCCCATTGCCCCTCCCCGGCTCCCCTCAAAATATAATGCCTCATCCTCTAGTCAAGAATGACAATGACTTTTAAAAAACCAATCATATTACATGTCATATGACCAACGTTATGTAAATAAATTGATACTGCTAATGGGACTGACTGGAGCCCAGCTCAGTCTGTATAATCTATTACTTATAATTACCAAAATAAAACAACTGCTTAGCAGGGGTCCAATTTGTTTAATCACAGTATGATTACAGACAGAAATGGATGACAAAGTCCAATCATTAATTAATCAACACTACAGAATTTGATAACCATATCATAACAATATCAATAACCACATCATCAATTATTAAATAAACAACTTGATAAATAAGAATAATTTTTGACAGTTACATTTGTCCCTGACCAAGACACATGAGGAAAGGAACATGTTACATAACACTGGAAACGACTGTGGTGTATGCTAGAAAAGACCCTAACTGGATGAACCAGTAAAACCAGTCGAAAAACCACTGGACAATTACGGGACCCTCATTCTCTATCTGATCTGCACCCAGGGGTGACACATCGGCTTTGATCCATTTGTATATTAGTTACCATAGATCCGTCTGTAAACCAGTACACAAAAAATGATGTATACTGTCCAATTTGTATGCATGACAAATATGTACACTGACTAATAGCATAATGGATTGTTAGTTTACTGATGTATTAATGTTTCTGGTGTAAAAGCGTTTTTAATGCTAATGTTAACATAACATATAACGTAACATATCTTAATTGACCACTCCCCCAATGGGGCTTTTCAGGGCCAATGAAACCAAATGATGAAACAAATAATGCAAATGAACGTAACATGGTTAAAAATCCAAACTGGCAGAAGGCAGACCAGTTGGCTATTCACAAGCAATTGACTGAGGAGTTGAACTAGGGTCTACTGAGAAACAACTCCGGCTGAGTGGTCAGAGCGGGACTTGAACCCGCGACCTCCGGATTTCAGGTCTGGCACACCAACCACTCGGCCACGCTGTTCAGTAGAGTTTGAGATTAGTCAACATCAACACTAAAGGAAAACTTATTATATGAACAGAAAATTTGACTGCAGACTATAAAGTTCTAAAACTTAATAAAACATTTACATCCAAACCTGGATTTTAATTGGCATAATCATGAATTTGTTTCTTGGATTATTAAATCCTATAGTGCAGTTTACATTCACATGTACCAAAAACTTTAACACAACTTAAAGAGTTTTTTGTGATGTTCACAGTATAACACAGATGCAAACACAACCAGAAGTGATTAACACCCTACACGGTGAGATGTGCACATTATGTGTACATCTATGTGCTTTTTCTAAGATGGCAAACAAGGTAAGGTCTACCTACCTGTCCATAAATTGTCCAGTAGAGGATAAATGTAAGAAATATTGGAACAATTCTCAGCACAGACTTGACATCCTCCACTGACTGCCCTTGGTATGTTCCTCCTAAACTTTGCTTTGCCCGGTCAAGCCAGTGAAATACGTGTACTTCACCTTCTCCAGCCCTACATTGAATCTTCTTTAAGCCTTCCCATATTATCTTCATAGTATCAGTCAAGTAGCTTCCCTTATGTGGGTGAATAATGTAGTATTTTCTGCCACTTATAAATAACATGATTGCTAAAAACATTGACAAGGCAGTTATGACATAACCATAGAAGAATGATGCTTCCTGTTGCACCGTAACGACCACCGTGTATGCCAGAAAAGAGCCTAACTGGATGAACCAGTAAAACCAGTCAAAAAACCGCTGGACAATTACAGGACCCTCATTCTCTATCTGATCTGCACCCAGGGGTGAAACATTGGCTTTGATTCCACCAGTCCCTATGGAAATGAGTAGCAGTGAAATCCCTAGGAATGCCTCTTTACTTCCTGTGCTCAATCCATAGCTGGCACCATAGTCAAATGTTGCAGTGGCCAGAATGATAGTGCCGACAACATACAGCAAAGAGCTTCCATATATGGTGTTGTAACGACCAAGGAAAGTATCTGCTACCCATCCACCAATCACAGGTGAGAAAAATGAGGTACCTTAGTGAAAAAACAAAGTAAAACTAAAGTATTACAGTATTCACTTTATTTAGAACTACAAGGTGTTCCATTAGCTAGAAGACTGGTAAATATAGATTGAAGGGTACTACATTATGGGTAAAATTTAAGAATGAATGCTTTGCTGATTAAGGCATTAAAAAGGACCTCAGGCAGATGTGGCCTCCTCTCTAATTACTGTTATTTTACCTTAGTTAGGTAAAAACTATGATGAAAGGAATGTCTTTACCAGGTGCCAGCAAGAATCATTGTGCATTGTTAGGAGGCATTATTTTGCTAAGCTGGGGTGCAGGAGGCACCAAGTGACTTAATTCAAACGTGTTTGATTTGACTAAGAATACTTAAGTAAAATGGGAAAGCAGGCTGTGTATTATTTTTTTGCCATGATCATTATTATCAGCAAAGTTATTCATCAATGCCATCTGACCAGTGACAATTGAAAACAAAAGTGACTAAAATGGGGACTTAAATTGAGATTACATGTATAAATAAATAAAATGTGGAGGTACAGTATCCCTATGGTTTAAAGGGCCCTAGTCAGCCACACCTTTGTTTTCATTTACATGCCAGAGTCTGACTATTATGTTTTATTTGGAGCATTTTGAAACAAGCAAAATTACTGTCAAACTACTAAAGATAATTAAACATGCATTCAGGAACACAACTTACAGTAAAGCAATCAGATTTCGCTTCACCATACAATATCAATTATTTCAATTGTATCGAAAATGGCGGATGCTGACTAGGGTCCTTGAAGTGTGCTCCACTCCAGTTTGTGATACTTATGTGTACCAATGTATTTGTTGTGCCTCTTTCCTGACTCTTACATTTTTAATTATTATAATTAAGGTCACCCAACTAGTTTAGCTTTTTAGTTATTTTGGGTGTCCCACTACTGTATGTACTGTACTGTTTATTTATATATTTATAATTACAATCTTGTAAATTCTTTTAGTTGTTTACAGTAGTAGAAATAAACTGTTGTTGAGCAGCCCATGTTCAAGCCCTTGTCTGGAACATTGTGTTTTGTTCTTGGCCAAGACACTTTACTCTAAGACTTACATTAACTCTCTCCTGTCATTTTATACTAGTAGTGTACCATCCCATCCAGGGGGAATAGGAATACATGTACTCCTAATTGCTTCATATGCCACAGATACTAGAGATAACTGCCGGTCTTATGGCTGATAGACCACTTGGCTCATATGCAGATTTTACCTTATCCTAACCATAACAAATAAATCTACAAGGAATTAATTAGGAAATCTACCTTGAAATGCAAGACTTATACTGCTAGGTAAAGGTGCTTCAAGCTTCAAGTAGTCTCGGCAGTACAATACAAGGTTGGCCACGATTCCATAAAATGTGAGACGTTCACACAGTTCGGTGAACAAAATACACAATACCAACAGAAACCTGGTTCTCCTGCTAAGGGGGCCTCTATGCAGGTCCATTGAGTTGACGCCTCTGGTAGCTCCAGTGGATGATCCAACAAGAATAGGGCACAGTTCAGGATCCTTCTTTGTCCAGTTGATCATTGATCTGTGACATTAGGTCTTAATGAAATATTGATTCAATTAGACATTAGTGAGTAGCTCTTTAGGGCAAATTGAACAACAACATAAATGCATTCCACAGTATAGTGTTTTTATTCACATGCAATGAGACATTCCCACGCATTCCTAGTACAAGAATCTGACTTTTAGTTTTATGAGTTTGAAAATGATCAACCAGTCATTGAAACATAATTCAAAAATTTTTATTGCTAATTTTAAACAATAATTGGATGAGGTTTTTGTGATATCCAGAATAATCAAGGTCAAGGTAGGGGTTATCAGCCACAGCCGAAGGCTGAGGCTGATAACCCTTACCAGACCTTGATTTATTCTCAATATCACAAAAACCGAAATCTAATAATTATTTTATTATACACTGAACGAAAAAAAATGGACATCGTGTTTTTGCCTCTTCACTGATGGCAAGTAACACAAAGTGTGTGAACTTCACATGATTACCCTTAGACATCATGCACCACGGTCATACATGACACAGTTACCTGTGACCTTAAGTGTCCTTGACATGATTATTCTATAATCTGCAGCTACATAGACGACGTGACAGGCACTGATTTCAAAAATTCACTGTACACTTTTCGGCCAATCAGAAAAGAGATAAAAGGTAGGTAAAGTCTGCATGCGAGCCAAGTGGCCCATCAGGCCGGAGCTTATCCCGGTTTCTCTAGCATGAAGCGACTAGGAGTATTTCTACTTCCCCCTGGATGGGATGCTAGTCCATCGCAGGGTTACCCCCAGCATTAAGTTCGCCGATACCCATTTATACACCTGGGTGGAGAGAGGCACTGTGAGAGTAAAGTGTCTTGCCCAAGAACACAACACAATGTCCCCAGCCAGGGCTCGAACCTGGACCGTTCGATCCAGAGACGAACGCACTAACCATGAGGCCACCGCGCCTCCCACAGAAAAGAGATAGCGAGTTAAATATGTATAACATAATTATAATTATAATTATTAGCAGTTATTTCCAAGAACTGGACTGATGGGGAACTTTTCCACACAGTAAAATATTTTATCAAAAGAACTTGCTGATAAGGAACGTACAGTATTAAGACAAAATCGGCTTCGTAATTCCGTTTCCTGATTACAGGGATTCCAAAGGTTTAATCTCATGGGTCCAAAAGTTACCACAACAGTCATCCATGTTGGGCAGAAAAGAGCGTGGTTACTGGTGAACCCCTTTTTATCGTATTTTTGCAATATTAAAATCCTATTTTTTGACGGAATCACGTGATTCAGTTGACTGAGCCGAGATTATTTCCTTTTCATACTGTGACATGAGTTTCATTCAGACCATGTGATATTTCACGTTCAATTCGAGCTTCAGCCCATAAATTTCTGCTGTGTACTTTTACACAAAATTTCTTAAACAAAGACAGAGAACGAGTACAGTTGCTAGTTGTTTGCGAATAATCTCTCGTTTGCAATAATTAATGTCGATGTTTGAGGCCGAGTGACTGAGATTTCCAGCCATCACTTGCGCCTTAGCTAACTGTCGCCATAGCTAGCAATGGCGAGATAAAAACGTTGGCTCAGTTAACTGCGAATTACATGTACTGTCCGTCCCTGCAAAGCTGAACGAGGCTTACCTTGAGCTTGAGGGAGTCCGAAACCGTTTGCAGGCGTTATGAACACAATTAGCAATCACCAAACCGAATTCGAGCGGGCTCTGGGAACGAGATCCGAGAAATGCGAGAACGCTGCATGCTAGAGATTTGACACGGAGTCATCTGAATTTTTCTTTCGTAGACTTTAAAACATGAACGAAAGCCAAAATGCGATCCAAGAACTGAACTGGAACCTGACTTTGTTTCTTAGAGTTGATATCTTCCTCCGCGCATGCGCAGATGACAAAGCATCCCACAAGGAAGGTAACTTTCCATCAGAACGATATAAGAAGTAAACTCTCACCAGAAGAGTACTGAGGTCCGGACGGTTGAGGGTTATCATCCAAATTTGAACCACCCCTCTTCCACTCACTCGACCTCGTGATGTTATTTTTGTCCATGTGGCCAAACAACATGGTTTTTAAACAGTCCCTTAAAAGTATTTACATTTCCCTTTTTTACTATTACCGTTATCCTCAATTCAATTCAATTCAAGTTAAATTAAAACTCTCACAAACCGTGATTAATTCTACAGAGGGGTCAGAAAAAAATAGAATACATGTGGGAGCTAAGAGTCCTCGTCTACATCTACATCTACAAAACCAGCTTTAATGGAACATATTTAGCTGGGCAAAGTGCAAAGCGCTACGCGAGCACGAAGCGCAAAAACTGAGGCAACGAAAGATAATCTCGCCTGTGATGCTTCGCGTTCCAACTGTCCCACACTGCGCAATGTTCCTGTTCTGTGCGAGCGAAGGGTCCTGCCAGTAGGCGTTCAATTTTGGGCGTGCAGTTGGCCATATACATTCTTGCCTTTTTTTGTGCTATTGCTATTACTATTTTATGGACAACTGTACGCCCAAAAAAGAACGCCTACTAGCAGGACTTATATATATATATATATATTATAATCAACTTTTATAATTTAGTTGGTGCGATGTCTTAATGATTTTACCGCGATATGATCGTTGCTTGTGCCATGGCCGCTAGAGCTTCACTGACAGGAAAGGTTGAGCGAGATTCTTAGGAGCTAGGAGAGCTGCCATTCGTGAAAATCTCTCCCCTGGCTCACGAAGAGCGAAGGCGAAGAACTTCAAAGAAAACGGTGGAAAACTATATGACTGCACACTAGTTTTCATATTACATTACGTCCGATCGCTACGATCTATCGGTCGATCGTTTATTTCCTTTCATCGATGAGATGATTCGCAGACTCCTACCCGCAACGATTAGTACTTGAAGCCCCGGAGGCGCGGGGGGGGGGGGGGGGGGGGNAGGAGAAACAGAAGTCATTACGTCGCAGAAATCGTTTCCTGGCTCGGGTTCGCAGACGTTATTTTCGGCGGCGACAAGCGACAGCCGGAAATACGTCTGCGTTCGCAGCCTACTGGTGGTGGACCCGGGTTAAATAAAGCTCGAGCGATCGAGCCACGCCCAGATTGATAGATCTCCTTTTGGGGCTTAATTCCAACTGCTCCGACGCCGCATCTGTGGTCTTTTCTCCCCTCCAGGCTTGAAGCCAGCCAACCTGCAATCTATATTGACTACTGCAGTTTGCATCACGTAGTTGAAAAAAAGTTGCGTTAGGGCTGATAATGCTGAAATTTACAAGGTTCAGTTACAAATACAAACATGGAAAACTTGCGTCCTTCGATTACTCGTTCTGGTTGACGTTCTCCATTGAATCGACTATAAAGTAACACTCGAACGCACGTGAAGAACCGACAAACGGAAGACGGGACCACGTGACCATTTTTCCCGCCAGTTTTTACTTGGTTTGCCCTGGGTTTGCCGTTGGTACGTTCAGGCAGCAAGCCTTTCGAAGCTTGAAGAGGCCAGGTTTTAGCAATTCATGCTCATGAAAAACCGCTGGGTAAGAACTGTATTTTTTATTGCTGATACGTCAGCAATCGTATACACTGATATAATGCTGTTTTACAGTCATTTTGTAAACAAAACATGCTGACTTCAAAGAATTCACAGAGAAAGAATTCGAGAGAAACTGAGTGCCTGGGGTCGAAAATGCTGGGCTCCGTTGATTCGTTAAACGTTATGGTTCCCTGTTGATGTATCAAGATGGCTGCGAAATGCTAATATTTCTACTTTCAGCATCAATTTTCACGGTGCTTCGTGTTTCAGAGGTCCGAATCTTTGAGGAAAAGAAAGAAAGAAATTTAGAAAAACCGGAAAAAGAACTGAATGTAAATTAGACAAATTTTCCACAATTTTAAGAGCCACAGTAGATTAGAATAATTGTAATTGAGTTAATTGTAATTATGATTTTAGGCTTTAATCTAAATATGTATATGTTAGATTTTTTATTTCCCCCCCCCC